AGTTTTGCTTCCATGTTACAGCAGTGACTTGGAGCTGAATAATGGAGCCCTTGGGNGTGTAGTCTGATGAAGGTCGGCCAGTGTTTCAGAAGAACATATTGCCTCCATCTTCAGGGTTAAAGAGTAAGTCAAGCAAGAAATTGCTGTAAAGCAGGCTTGCTGCCTGCTTCATGCTTGTTTCTTGCTCCCAGGAGATAGAAGTCTTAGCAAATTGAGCTGTCTCGTTCCTCCACTAGTGCCTTTAGTTGAAGTTTTGTGATATGGTACTGTTACTGCCTTGTATCTTAGCCACGGTAGAGGGGTCATACCATCTCTTGCAGAGTGGGGGGGAGCAGTCTTGTCAGCCTACGTCAGCGTGGGTACTACCAGTTTGGAATGTAGCATCTTGGAGTGTGGTCAGGTGTATAGTACTACTCCTGGTCTCCGTAGACAATGTTTTCCACACGGGGAGTAGCTCCGAACGGCCCCACAGCAAGGGTATAGCTTCGCATGCCTCACAACAGCGTTTGCCTTTCTGGGTGGCTGAAGTTACCAGGCAGTAACAGTAGGTACATTTTAATTAATTTCATTTATATTGTCTTGATATCTGGTGTAGTAAACTAAATAAAACACAAAGTGCACAGTAAATTTGATCATAGATGATAATTTTCACCATATTGTAAAAATGTTTGACAGCAATGTCTTGGCAGTTTAAGTTACAAACTGTTATCCATTGGAGATAAGGATCATCATTTTTTGGTGCAACTGTTTTCCTCTTACACACCAGACAGGCCATTCCTTGTCTTTCTTTGTTGAAATGTAGAACTGAGAGGTCATATGAGAGCCTGGAGTGAATGATTTTGCTGGTCTGGCAGGAGGCACATGCTACTCATGTGAACTCACAATGCATGTTCAGACTCTTATAGTCAGTAGCCTATAAACATTACAGTTTCCCTTCATTTCTTCAATGTTTCCACAATAAGTATTTGAATAACTACTCTGTAGGAAGCTAATGTGTAAAGTGCCTGTTGACTACAATCCCAAGCCCCTACTAGTTGTACTATATTAAACAATAAGTCAGTTATATTACTTTGTTTATCAAAATGACACATGAGAGTTACAGATTGACATGAAAGTTCATGCATAATGCCTATGTGAAATGTAAGGGGAAGGTTCAGGCATAAATTCCAGGGTGTTACAGTTCCAAATAGAACTATTAATACAGTTGTAAGTAAATTTAGGTAGACAGGGTTATTTCTCAGGAGGTTGGAGAAAACTGCATAATGAGGAGCTTCATAACTTGTACTCTTCTCCAAGTATAATTAGAATGATCAAGCCAAGGAGGATGAGGTGGGCAGGTCATGTAGCACGAATGGGGGAGACAAGGAATGTGTATAGGATATTGGTGGGAAAGCCAGAAGGAAAGAGACCACAGGGAAGACCAAGGCGTAGGTGGGTGGACAATATTAAAATGGATCTTAGAGAGATAGGATTGGATGGTATGTATTGGATACATCCTTTGGGTTCCATAAAATGCTGGGAAATTCTTGAGTAGCTGCAGAATTGGCGGCTCCTCAAGAAGGGCTGAGCTCCATGAGTTAGTAAGTAAGTAAGTAAGTAAGTAAAACAGGGTTATTATTGAACGAAGAGGAATTGAATCAAAATGCAGACTGCTTACAGAAGAGCAACCAAATAAAATCAGTGCTAGGCTTTAATGTTTCCCTCAAAAATCTTGTAGACACCTTGCATAGGAGGCTAGGGTTCCAAGTTTAAGATTTTACTTTTCAAGTTTGCTCTGTTTCCGGAAAGGAACTTTAGTGTATGATTGTGAATTTTTTGTGGCAATGCAAGGAATGCGTGCAAAATAGCAGATATAATTTCTATCATTTGCTGTTATCTGGTGTTTTTTGTTTGTGATTTGTTTGCCCATGGGCTTGCTGCATGTCTGAACACACACAGAAAGAGTTAATTTGAAGAGCTTGTCACTTTTCTAGTTGAGTGGTTGAATGATTTGTGACAGGCTCCTTAATGGCCTTCCTATTGGTAATCGATGTTACCCTTGGTTGCTCTTGAGGTGCTTTATATAACAATGGTGCAATTTGTGTGTAGTCATGGACACCAGAAATAGTAATTCAGGGATCATGTCACATTCTCCCAGTGTTATTTCATCATTTATTTGTATTAGAGGCATATTTAAAGAGGACCTGAATTTGAGTCCAGACTGGTAGTTTTCATAGAATTAATTTTCAATAACTTTCTCAGCCTATCATGATTCTTTGCCACATACACACCATAGGTGATTTCTGGCAATTTAAATACTCATATCTGAAACATGTTTCAAGTGAAACTTTGTTTAAACCATTTGGTGCATCAAAAGGAATCACAAGTCACACTGTACTAAAATTGGTAGTGATCTCTAGAATGTAACATTTGTGCTTATTATTATGTATTGTCTTCACAGTTTAAGACTTCATGTCTTCACTTATTGTGGTGACACATTTCAGTATACTTAACAATAATTATGAATTAATGTGCAAATTTTGTAGGTGTGCTTGTTCCTTGGCTGAAAGTCAAGAATGTTTTCAAGATAATTTCAGGAAGATTAATATTGTCACATGTTGGGGTGACTATTAAGATGGTTTCAGATTGGATGATTGGATTTATTGCACCTTCACACAGTTCAGAACTGCAGGCACTTCAGTGCTATAGCTGTTCTACACGCTTTCCATTTCACCATTCCATCACATATGAAGTCTTCTTGTCACAACCTAATTCCTTGTCATTTCTGCAGCTGCCAATTCCGAAGGCTTGACTACTCTTGACTACTGTTGTACGCTCCACTGTACTCCATCAAATACTTACTGTCAGAAGCAGAGTCAGTGTTGCTTTATGAGTGGCAGTTTACTGCCAGTCAGTTCGTCTTGGCAACAAGCCCTATGAGACTCACTACCAGTAATTTTATTTTCCAACTGAACACTTGTGGTTATAGTCTTTATGTAACAGTTGCTGCTGTTCCTCGCCAGTACGGTGATTCTCAGGTCTGAGTCCTGTGGGACGCATGACCACATTCTACTGTCTCAGGTTTGAGACTCCCCCAACCTGGAGGGCCAGGTCCCTGTATTTATATCCCTTAGGAAGAGGGTGGCCTGATTATACCCCCAAGCACTGGGTTCCTTTTTCATCCCCTTCTACGACTTGCAGATAAATGATGGAGGTATTTAACTCTGCCTCCACATGGGATTACTCTCTTTATATCATATGTTGGTCTCAAACCGCTGATGTACTGATTCTTTGTCCAGTGTCCTAATCACTGGACCACAAATGTCTCTGTCCTGCTGAACACTTCTTGTAACCACTTTGCACGGACCCAACAGGAAGTGTCCAGAATGCGTGTTTACTGCTCTGTTATGTAGTTGTCTCCTACATGAGTTTTTTCTCTGTTATGTTCACTACAGTTACCTGACTGTTTCATGGGAGTTTTAGTTACACTTGAGTTGGTATAACATGGACTAAAATTTTGTCCATGGTTAGCTGCAGAACTGGCACAGTAATAACAGAGAGTTTCTCAGTAAACTGGCCTTGAGTAACTACAGATTCATTGGTTGAAAACGTATGAAGTTAATCTATTATAATCAGCCTTATTACTTGCTCAAAGTGTTGCGACAGTTTTATATTTAAATATGCAGCAATTCTGAAGTACTCTTCGGCCTGGTACCATTTTCGTGACAGAATTTATTTTCAGAATTGTCAGAAAACTGAATCAGTGTAAGTATTATGTTGCATAATGTTATAATATTACACAGGTGAAAGTAAAAGTAACAGGCCGTGAGAGCCCATAGGGTTGTGAGACATCGAGGTTCCCACATTTTCTGTAGACAGTCCCCTCACAGATAGCAGTAAGGTTGTCAGCCTTACATGCCAGCTGCCCTTTACCCCCAGGAAGATTCCTGGTACTCATTTCTGTTAAAGGCTGAGTTGACCCCAGGGCCATAGTGCAGCTGGAAGGATTAGGTCAGTTGAAAAAAATTCACCCCATCGGGACTTGAACCTGCGACCTTTCGGCTTATAGAATAGTGTCTCAAGAAACCGCTACTGTGTGCCCCATTACACTGGTAGATGAGCTATATTGTTTTGTATTCAACCTGTATAGTACTGTTAGATCTGAAGATGTTGCTGGCTGTAAATTTGCATAACTTGAATTTGGGTTCATTTGCACCTACAGTATCAACTGTACCAACTTCACCTCAAAGCTGAGGTTCAGTGACTTATTTACTCTTACATCTTCTAGCTGATGGCTGGAATTACATCAGAACTCAGCATGAAAATAACAAGCCTACTTTACTAGAGTTGTGAAGTAGATGTGACATGACATCAAAAAACTAGAAGCTTCACAATCTTGAAAGAATGGAAATACTGCAAAAGCATCCATTATTAGGCAATGACAGGCACCAATCCCTGACAGCAGTGTCTGTGCACAGCAGCAAGGAACTGTTGGGAGGTGATGTTTTGTCATTGGTCTGAAACAAAGTGATATACCAAGAGCCTGTGAGCTTGCAGGAGAGTCCCTGTTATCTGAGCCCGCAATGTAGCAGTGTTTTTGAGGCAACACATCCGGTGAGGAACTGCGCAGGAGTCATGTAGCAGACTCTGAAATTATGTAACTGCACTTCATAATCATTTGTAGATAGGAGAAATCAGTGTCCTGTAATTTTAATTTTTAATTTCATTCCATTGTGTAGTCATTATAAAGTGACAATATGTTTAAGCAGATATTTCATTTGCATTCCATTTGGTTTAGAACAGATCGTGATCGCCATAATCTTCATTTCAAAGTATTGTAGTTTTAAGAATGTGTTCTTGAATCACATAAGTTATACTAATTTTGAGGTTGTTGATGTTTTTGAGATTAGAAACTTGAAGGACTAGTCTCCATTATGACATCTGTCCTATTTGAGGTCTGACGTCATAGCATGAACAATTTATGAAATCTTGGATGGTAGAGGTTTGTGTTTTCATTGCAGGTAAATGTAACACTGAAAAAACCTGGCTCAAAGCTAGAGCACCAGGGTATAAAGATAGAATTTGTAGGGCAAATAGAGCTCTATTATGATCGAGGTAATCATCATGAGTTCACATCTCTTGTGAAAGAGCTGGCCAGACCAGGTGAACTTATTCAGAATACCCTGTATGCATTTGAGTTCCTGAATGTGGAGAAACCATTTGAGTCATACACTGGATCAAACGTCAGACTACGGTGAGTTCAGCCAGTTTAGTTTTTTGTGGATTGTAATGTTAGCTTTCATGAATAATTTTTACTTCCCGTGTTCATATCTAGAATAATGTATTTATAGTTACAGAGATCAGTTTCCAAGAAATGTTAATAGTATGATTTTATACACACTGATCACAGTAAATAGAACGCTTGTTGTGCTCCCTTATTTAAGCCTTGTCATTGTGTGACACTGCAAACTGAACCAAAACCAAGGGCTTCTACAAAATCCATAATGTTCTTGTATGTGTAAAAGTAGATATCCACAGCTGTTAGTGGGTGAACTCTTCGACAGTTTACAGTACGAAGGGGGACCCAAAAATAACCGGAAACGACCTGTTGCGCGCGCAGGCTTTGTAGTTAGGAGTTGTGCTGCTAGGTGGTGTTAGCTGGGGGTCTCCCGCGACTGTTAGTGAGCTGGTGTCAGTCTGAGTTAAGTGGTTTGTCTGTGGTGCTCTGTTGTGTGCGTTCCTGTTTCAATCCTTTGGCGATTAGTGAGATGGCCGACCAGAAGGAACAAAGAGTGTGCGTGAAATTCTGGATCGTTCTGCACTTCAGTCTTCAAATCGCGGCATACATTCATGCGGTTTTCTCTTTGGTCATCTCCGAGCAAGCGAGGAACAAATTTTGCAGACACCTGTCTCATGTGCAAACCTTCGGTTAAAATTCGCTGGACCGTGCTCCATGAGATGTTTGTTTCCTCAGAAAGTTGGTCTATGGTCTTTCGACGATCTTCATCAATTTCACGCACACTCTTTGTTCCTTCTGGTAGGCCATCTCACTAATCGCCAAAGGGTTGAAACAGGAACGCACACAACAGAGCACCACAGACAAACCACTTAACTCAGACTGACGCCAGCTCACTAACAGTCGCGGGAGACCCCCAGCTAACACCACCTAGCAGCACAACTCGTAACTACAAAGCATGCGCGCGCAACAGGTCGTTTCCAGTTATTTTTGGGTCCCCCCTCGTATATTACATTTGTCATTTTTTAAGGCCATATCCATATGCAGTGTATGTAACCTTCAGTTCTAAACGTTTGAACAATAACTGCCAACTTTGCCTCTTAATAATGCTTTTCATTGTATGATGGTGCACATGTTGCAGGTACTTTTTGCGAGTGACAGTTGTACGAAGGTTGTCTGACGTGGTGAAAGAACTGGATATTGTTGTCCACACATTGTCATGTTATCCAGACATGAACAACAGTATCAAGATGGAAGTTGGAATAGAGGATTGTCTTCACATAGAATTTGAGTACAACAAGTCCAAGTGAGAACTTGTATTGCTTTTTTGCTTTTATATGTCCCTTCAGATGAAAATGTGTGTGGAGAATTGTGTAAGAATGTTTGTGTCTGGGATATTGGGCTCTGTTCTGTTCTTTTAGTCATTAGAATGATGTGGTGTTCTTGGTGACCTTCCTAAGAAGCATATGATCTTAGGCTGTCTCCACATGAGACCTAGGGATTATTTGTCACTCAAGTATGTAATTTTTCTCATGTTATCCCATGTCATTATGAGCAGATAAAGACTTCTGAAGGGATTATCCCCCATTGGAGGAGTGTTACTGTCAGTTGAGCAGTGTGTATGAAAGTTGTGTTTGGAAGAGGCCAAGACTTAAATTGGTCTGTAGCACCAATAAGAGATTGGTGAATTAGGCCTTTGAAGCCGACATTATTACATACATAACTGTGCTAGAGAGATGGGAATTTCAATTCCCAGTCTGGATGGATTAAAATCTTGTTATTTCTGTGACTGCTCCAGCTTTTATTCAAATGCCTGTATTTTGATTACTTTTTAAAATTTTGTATTGAAGCAAAAGCCAGTGGAGTGTTTTACAGATACTGTAGTCAGTTGCATGACTCTGTTAATATCCTGCATGCTGTTTTCACAAATTAGTAGTCTGAGAAAAAGCCCTCCTTAGGGCTGTTCATCCCACGCACCATGGTCATCTTGAGGGAGTGCCTCACTTAGTGTCCTCTGACTGGCAGTCTCTGGCCATCATTACAGGCACCTCCCTTAATGGTATTACCGGCATTCTTGCCCTACATATTCCAGCTTGGTGGGTGGCCCTGGAACCCAGTCTCTGCTCTCTCAGCATGTTACTTATTTTAATATTGTCTCGTGTTAGTGACTAAGACATTAACACACTGTTTCTCTGCTCAGCTGCTCCTTGGTGGCCCCTGCCCACACTAGCTGGTGACTGACTGCTAACCACAGACTTTTGTCCTGGCCCTGCTAGGCATCCTTATAAAACTTCAGCAACATATGCACACAACAACTGAAGAACCATTTGAAACGTTTTCTATGTGGACTGCTCTGAAGTTATATGAGGAAGAACAATGGGATCAGGACTCCCAGAGAAAAATTATTTTTACTTGGGACTCAAAAGAGTTGTGAGACAGTAGAATATGATTGTGAATCCCACAGGACTGGGGAACCAAGAATGACTGTGCTGGTGAGGCCCAGCAGCAGTCTACCTGACATGACCTGACAGGCCAGTGGGAAGTAGTCTCACAACACAAGAGTCATGAAACAGAAAAATGTGGTCATGGAAGAAGTGAAGACAGAATCTAGTGCATGTGCAATGGTGAACTGTAAATTGTGTAGATCACAGCGCTCTGTTGATTGTGATTAGAACTTTTACCCGAAGTGCTAATAAATCCACTCATCCAATCTAGAAGCCACTATATTCATCATGCATACCACCCTAAACGTGACAATATGTTAGTTTCTTGCATATCTTTCATTGACAACATAAAAAGTGTTATTGACCATCAGATGATAGCTGTGATGAACTGAAATGGTCTGAAATTATTACTGTAGTGTTGGAGTGCATTAACCCTGAAGATTTTAATGAAATTAAATAGCCTGAGGACAGGACATAAGACTTATAAATTCATAGCATATGCATCCTTGGATTAAGATGACCAATTTCTACAGTTTGCCACATGTTAGTGACTAGACATGGGGTTTGGATTGGTAATTGGATTTATTGAACACTTAAGAAGTCACAGCTACAAGTAATTATAATGCTGTCACTAATTCACGCACGCAGCTTCTCACTACAGCACATGCTGTCTTCTACTGCTTCACTAACTGATGCCTTGTAATGGTTCCCAACAATGGAGATTCTTCTGCTCTCTTGCTTACATTATTGCCAGCTGGCTAGTCCTCAGCTGGCCACTTCCTGACTATGACTGATTCTCAACTAACTAACTTTGGTTGGTTGGATAAATTGCTGCTCGCCCTTGTGAGCACAGTTATTCTTGGCTTTAGGTCCTGTTGAGATCTGTGATCAAGATTTTTGTTTTCTCTCAGATGTACGTGTTCAAAAGTGGGCCCTCCTCTTTGACGAGGGGAGGGATTGGTCTTTGTGGAGGCGCTTCATTTGTTGTAGGTCTGGCCGCATAGAAAACATTGCCTCCATTGGCTCCTCTATTGTTGTGTGACATGTCAGCAAGCTGTTTCCTAGGGACAGGTCCCTTGTTGATTAACCCTTTTGCGCGGTCATTTAAATTCCGCTGCCGTGTTTCTCCGGCGGTAATATATTCAGCCGGCCATTTAAATTTTGCTCGAAAATGATTTATTCATCATTGTTCTTAAATTATATGAGATAGGAACATGAAACTTTCACTAAAATGATCTTAAAAGGTGGTTTTATAACCTTGCCTTATAATATGAGTGCCCGGTATCTCGGCAATGGAAGCAGTTGGTTTAGAATTTGAGCAGTGTATCGTATGCCTTGAAGCATGAAACTTTCACTAAAATGATCTTAAAAGATGGTTTTATAACCTTGCCTTATAATATGAGCGCCCGGTATCTCGGCAAAGGAAGCAGGTGGTTCAGAATTTGAGCG